ACTTGCATGAATGCTTCCTATTTGTTTGTTTCTTCTTGGTTGGCTTTTATTTCTAACGAAATTCTTATGGTAGATTCTTAAGAAAGAGATAAGCAAAGCCCGCATAAAATTAATGGAGCCTTTGTTAAAGGGACCTGCTGGTCTTGACTACCTGAAGAATGCCTTTGCTAACCGTTATGGATCTCCGTCTGATGCCAACATATCTTTGCCTTCAACACTGAGATGGCTCTCTTCAGTTCGGGCATCAAAAGATCAGGACTGGGAAGAACACTTGAATTCCTCCTCAGCTTTGACAACTGGTAATAGTTCGACCCAGGGATGTCTTCCTTCCACCACTCTCAGAACTGGGGGAAGTATTCTGGCCAAAGCAACTGGCAGTCAAATATCCTCCGCTGGTGATGATGCAAATTCTACAGGTTCAAAATTAACAGAACTTCAATTAAAAAAATTGCTTCTACAGCTATAATTCCCTCAATTATAGCTTTAAACATATGATTTTCTGAGACATGCTTGTGTATCTGAACAGCTGATCAGCTGCCAGAATGCAGAGGAGAACTGATTGATCTAGTTGTGAGGCTTGGTTTGCTAAAATTAGCAAGTGGTATATCTGGACTAACCCAAGAAGATCTACCAGAAACTTTATCACTTAACTTATTCAGGCTGAGGTCTGTTCAGTCTCAAATTCAGAGGATCATTGTTATTTCCACTAGGTAAGCTGCACAAAAAATTGTAGATCCGAGAAAATTTATGATTTATGAATATTTCAGAGTGGGTTATTGAACAATTCTTTTTTTTTTTTTTAATTTGGAATTGCAGCATCCTTATTTGCCGCCAGATTCTATTGGGTGAAAAGGTAGTGGGTAGCCCCACAGAAATGGAAAGCATAGTATCAAAGTGTGCTGAAAAACTTGCGGATCTCTTAGACCGTGATCAAGACGTCGATGTTAACGATATTGTTGAAGTAATCTGTGATTTCAACGTGGGTGGTGATTTAGACATAGATGCAGGGAAACTAGAGAAAATGAAGGTAGTTACTGCCAGGATGCTGCCAAAGAGCTTACAAGCTGGAGATGCAGTGTTTGAAAGGGTGTCAAATGCAGTCTTTTCAGCTGTCCGAGGTGTCGTGCTCGGCGGAAATGGGGCTCAAGGTAGAAAGTTAGCAGAAATGGCCCTCCGGAAGGTTGGGGCCGGCTTACTGACTGAAAGGGTAGTGAAAGCTGCAGAAGTTTTGATTGTGGCTGCCACTATATCAGTAAGTGTTCATGGTCTGTGGTATAAATATTTGACTCTTAACATGAACAATAATCAGGAAGCGTAAGTACAGGAATAATAAAATCCCCGTTTGTACATAGCAGTGTGAAGTTATTGTCACCATGTATCTTAGGGCTGTAAAGTGAGTAGACGAAATTGATTGTCGTTTGAAAGCATGTTGAATTCTTTTGATGTATAGAGGGAGTACTGAAATGTATATATTAATCCAAGAATGTTATTTATCTGAATTGTTTGAGCCAGCCCTCAACCTCCCATGTATGACGCTAGGTCTTAAATGCCCACATGATGAATCTTGAAGTATTTATATTTAAGTAGATCTGAAAATTTATTGAATTTTTAGATAGAGGGAATGGTTTTTTAAGATTTGTCGGCATAACATGTCGAGGGAGTATATGAATAGTGCAACTTTTTACATATTCAATGAATCGGTTCTTGATTTGATATTATTACATTGAAAGTTTTTATGCGGAGTCTCTAAATAGTATAGCAATTTGTTTACCTTGTAAAAAGCTCTAGTACTTTAACCTGATTTTTGCATTTTTGATCATTCCCAGTCCTGTTGGCTGGAGGTGAATGATGAGAGATGGGGCGTTTTTTTTTTTTAGAAAAATTTTATATACTTTACTTTATATATTTAAGATGCTTGTTTTTAATTAAATTAAAAAATGTGTATTTTTATAGATTATTTATTTTATAATAAATTTTTATTATTGATATTATTAATATATTAAAATTTATATGTTTTGATTTGTTTGAATGAAAATATATTAAGTATATAAGGGAATGTATATGAGTTTTTTTTTTGGTCCCTGTTTTTTTTTTTTCACTCTGTTTTGTTGCACTGCACCTAAAACATTAAAAAAAAAGGCTTTTATAATCAAGAGTTCTATTTCGTTTTTCATTCATGGCCAATGTGTTAAATACAAAAACAACACGATAGCTTGTAATATGAATAAAATGCATATTCTAATCGTAAACCAAGTCAAATAAAGTGGCTTCTGTAGTCTCTCCCTCCCTCTCTCTAATCAGGCTTCTTGTAAGTTGTAACTTTTAAAAATACATTGATCTTGAAATTAATAAGAATATTGATACCGATTGAAAGATCATTCCACTTTAATATCAGTCATTATTATTTCTTTATTTCTATTAATTCCTTTTTTCAAGGCAAGTGCTTTTAACATTGTATGTAAAATCAGACCGGCTGAGTCAACATGTGAACCAGTGACTTGGTCTTTCCACCTGTCTGATTTTCATCTTGACTTAGTCAGCGAGTAACTTGGTAGGACTTGGGGCCAACTTGATATAAATTGAATAACCCGATAGGTTAGCTGGATCAACTGGGTCACATATTTTGCCATTCAAAATTCCCGAAATATGATGTTTTGGGGTTTTTTTTAAAAAAAAAGAAAAAATTGAAAAAGCAAAAGGGCAAAGAGGCTTTGCTGGTTTTGCTTTTGAATTCTGAAATCAATTAATTGAATCTTACCCCACTAGCTTTGAACACTCATCCCTAGCCCTAGTTCAAATTAAACCCTACCCGTCAGTCATCGACCATCATCGCTGCCCGTTCTATTGTTGTCACTCTCCTGGACTCTTGGCTTTTCTAGTTCAAATTCTATCTCTCTCGTCGTGTAGCAAAAGTATAGAACTCACCATGGTCATGATGCATAACTTGTGTTGCTCTTGGCTGTCCTCTCTCTAGTTGTGAAGCAAAACTTGCTGTGAAGCAAAACTCGTCGTAACGTTGCTATCCTCTATTTCTCTCAATGAATCTCCTCGTTGTCTAGTTATTAGTTTTCTAATTGCCACGCCTCTTTCTTTTTTGCCCTTTTAATTTAGAATAAGTGGTTTCTACATTATTTGTTGTTGTTAATTTGTCTATTGTTGTTTAGTATTTTTTATTGTTTTTGTTTATTGTTATTTTTTATTATTATTAGACTTTTGAGTGGTTATATTTTTATAATTATTATTATATTAGTATCTTGTATTAGAAATTAATCTTGGATTTGATTGAATATTTTTATTATTAATGTCTTTTTATTTAAATTGTATTATTTTAATCATAACAGATTTGCCATCGGTTTAACCCCTGAATCAACCACTAAGCTGTGACTTAGTACTTTGACCGATTTAATGATTGATCTAATTTTAAATACCTTGGATTTTAATATACTCTTAGAGACATTTTGGATAAAAAATATGTTAATTGTTCATAAATTATTGTAAAATACCTTGCACAATTTTTATTGGAGAGAGCAAAATTCATTCCGTAAACACTATTGCCTTTTGATTTTTTTTTTGGGGGCCATTTTTAACTTTTGAATGAAAGACATTTTTATTCAACACAAACACTGTTTTATGTTATGGAAATGGAAAAATATCAATAAAGACTTTTTGATCAAGCTTATTTTGAATCAAAACTCCTAAATTTTTAAAATATCACTGCAATTTAAAAGTTCTAATTTAATATTAAATTTTTGAGGAAAGTAACAAAATTGCCGTTGTTTCATTAATATTAAAATTGTCTTACTTTATTTGTTCATTTATTTTCGGAATATTATTCATTATTCTACTTATTCATTTCTCTAAAATGAAATCAAGTAAAAGTCTTGTAATGAATAAGTGAAATAGGGTAATGAACATTCTATAAGTAAATAAATAATATACAATATATGAATAAAAAAGTCATCTTAAGATGATTTAAATATTTGAAATGAAATCAAGTAAAAGTAATGCAATGAATAACAATTGATGAGTAAATGAACAACATATAGTATAGAAACCAACAAGTTGTCTTAAAATAATTTAAACATTTGGAAAAACATCAAGTGAAATTGGGCAATAAACAACATTTCACAAGTAAATAAACAAGCGAAGTATGATAGTTTTGATATCAATTTAAATGAGAAGTAATTTTGCCATTTCTTTCAAAAAATTAATATCAAATTACGGTTCCTAGACTGTAGTGATATTTTAAAAATTTAGAGCGTTTGATTCAAAATAAGTCTAGTCAAAAAATTTTTATTAATATTTTTCTTATAAAAAATTAGAACAAACCCCACTATTTTTCCAAAAAAATAACAATATATTCTATTTAATAAATTTTTATTAAATTAATATTATATTATTAAGATATGATATCAATAATATTATCATAGAATTACTCTCACTCCTCTCACCTCCTTTCATTTTTTCATGAGTTGAGTTAGTTTTGAGATTACAAGTTTGAGTTGAGTTAGTTTTGAGATTACAAGTTTGAATAATAAAATATACAATCAAGTTAAATAACTATGTTAAAAGTTATTCACATGATACTTGTAAAGCGATTATTGATAATAATTTTACATGGCAAGGGTTTAGATTAATTTGGATAGGAGCTAATAATTTGTTTAGGTTTTCCATGGTACAGGAGATGAAATAAAAAAAGTTTAAATATATTAATTTTATAATAATTCTTAAATAATATCTAATTATTAATTAATATCATTCATTCATTTAATTAAACTCACAAACAATAAACTATGCCGTTCTATAAAAATAAAATATTTTATTCTATTTTACTCAGCCCCACTTCATTCCATTCTATTAATCATCTTTATGTTCCATTCCATCTTATGGTCTTAAATATACCCTAAATGCCAAATGTTGAGGCGTGAGTGATTAATTAATGATTAATTAAGGATTAACATGAAAAGCTTCTTTAACTTCATAAAAATATTATTCATGATCAGATGGTCACATAGTGCGGCGAGATCGGCGGTCAAACTTCATCTTGGTCAGAAACTGAATAGCCTCACCGCCTCAGCCGTTTCCGTCGGAAATTTATGGCCTATGCTCAGCCCCTTCCCTCCCACTTCCATTCCCAGGTACGCCTCCTCTCTTCATTTTCAGTTGTTTGGTTCCTCAGAAAATCACGCAACGTTATCCCACATAGGAACCCAGAAAACTGTATCAACCTCCGGTTTAGTTGCCCGTATTCTGATGCTGAACTCGTGTGTGTGTGTGTGTAGTTTGATATCAGTCAAGGAGGACGAACTGTCAATTTGTTTGTTTTTCTTTTGCCTTTAATGTAAATGGAAAGACATTTAAGATTCATAGCTGGTTGATGAGAGGAAAACGTCGATTGTGACATAAGCCAGTTGTAAAAAAAGTCACTATGATTTTCATGAATTAATATTAGCACCATGTGAGCATTTCCTTTTTCTGGACTAGACGGTGCATAGTTTCAATGCTGAAGACTGAAGCATCTAGTTCTATTTTGTATGTCACGATTTTTCTGTTGAGCATGCTTGCTTTTTCTCTCTTTCTGTTCTTTATCCCGTTATCCTTGTGTGCTGAGACTTATCTTTCCCTTTTTCTCCTTCCCTAGAGCTGTCGCAAGCCAAATCCGATTAAGCTTGCTCCCCAAGTGTTTAAACAAATTAGGAGCTCAAGCTTCCTGTTTCAGAATTTAAAAACTAATCAGAAGAATTCAAGGAAGATGGTTTTGAACGTGCAAACACGTAGATCTTCAATAACAGTGCAGAAACCAGAAATGAAAGTTCCTCATGTACTGACCGTTGCTGGCTCTGATTCTGGGGGCGGTGCTGGTATTCAAGCAGATCTAAAGGCTTGCGCTGCTAGGCGGGTGTACTGTTCTACTGTGATCACTGCTGTCACTGCACAGAATACTGTTGGAGTCCAGGTTGAAATTTCATATTAATTTCATCAATTTTTCTAAGTTCATTTCCGAGAAAGTTAAAGAAGAAAAGGCAAGAATTTAATTCACAATTCACACATTGTATGATAAAGTTAATTGGAACGTAATTATTGAGCTAAATATTTTTATTGGGCTACATAAGCAGTAAGTTGTCTTGGTTTAAGATTCTTCTCAAGATGAACAGCAGCTAACTTTTAGTTTTATATTAGTCAAATCTCACAGTGAAGCTGACACTTAATTTCTTTTTTGATAATGTCATCCTAAATATATGAAAATTGTTAGGGGGTGGACATCGTGCCTGAGGATTTTGTGGCTGAGCAGCTGAAGTCTGTGCTCTCTGATATGGATGTCGATGTGGTAAGTCAAAATAGTGACTGCTGCTGCTGCTTCTTTCAAGTATTTGGGTGGTTGTGATCTCATAGGATGTAGTTGACTGCACAAGGAACTAAAAAACAAAAGTGTTTTTTTTTTTTTTGTGTGTGGGGGGGGGGGTAGATGTCCATACCTGCATGTAAACGGTGGTATTCCAAGAATGAAGTAGAATAAAAGGTTGTCTTCAAATATAACTTGCGTGGGTTGATTATATTCTGGTAATTGTGTGAAATTGAAATAAATAAGTTTATTCTGTGTTGTGGTTTCTCCTTGACATGCCTTGAAGTACTGGCTACTGCAATTGCTACTTTATTTTTCCTCCTAAACTAAACATGTGATGTGCCTAGGTCAAAACAGGCATGCTGCCATCTCCTGGCATAGTGAAGGTTCTTTGTCGCAGTCTTGGGGAATTTCCTGTTAAAGGTATTCACTTTTACAGAAATTGCTATCATGTTATTATTGTACTGTAGTTGCTTCTGATTGATTTAGTTCTATTGCTGAAGGCAGCTCTGGTTGTTGATCCTGTCATGGTATCAACTAGTGGAGATGTACTTGCTGGTCCATCTGTTCTAGCTGGATTTAGGTTAGTTTTGCTGATCCTGAACTTTTAATAAGCATCCATATGGCTTGAAGTATGCATAATCTTTCAATGATATCTGAAAAATGGATAAAAACTCTTGTTTCTATATTTGTTGCGAGTTTAATTAAAATGGTTGGAAATTAATTGAGCTTGTTATTGGTTTTATATTTTAGGGAGGAACTTCTTCCCTTGGCCAACATTGTGACCCCAAATATCAAAGAGGCATCAGTCTTACTTGGTGGCATGCCAGTGAGATCAGTTTCTGATATGCGTGCTGCTGCAAAATTAATACATGATATGGGTCCTAGGTTAGTTGCTGCAATGGCATTCATCTTTCACATGTCATGAATGGTCAAATACCTATGCTTTGAGATACGTTTGGATATATGTTACTTCTTACATAGAGTTCTGCTTCATGAGTGGTAGACTACTGACACCAAACCATTTGCTTGGTAAAGGTTGAGCTTTACGAGATATAATGCATGTAACTAACAAAGCATTATTTTATGTTTCACAAAAAATGTGAAATTGAAGAAATAAATTAGCTAGTGGCATAGTACTGGTAAAACAAATCCATAACAATGAATTGCTTTATTAGTCTGCTCACTGAAAGTTTTCATGAGAGCATGAATTACAGCATGTAGCATAGGGTAGTTTGTTGATTTGTTTGCCAAAAGCATGACACCCTGCAATTACTTTACTCTAGCTTAAGTTTCTAGTGTTGTGTATGTAAAGGGGTTTGGCTTCTTGACAATCACTTAAGATGTCTAGACAATTATGTCTAGACACATCTGTCAGTGACAGAGGTGCTGAATATAAATCTAGGGTACTCTAATTTAAGATTGTGTGTTTTGGCAAATAATTTATTCTCACTTTCAGGAACGTACTTGTCAAAGGTGGTGACCTACCCAATTCATCAGATGCCATTGATGTATTATTTGATGGTAAGATTGAAGTCTTTAATATGACATGCAGCAACCTTCATCCTTTAACTTTTTTTCTCCCATTTAAAAATGTATGCCAAATCCATGTTTCAAATGAACTCCATTTCTAGGTCTTGAGTTTTGCAGGTGAGGGGTTCTATGAGCTCTGTTCTTCACGTGTGAATACTCGCAATACTCATGGTACTGGCTGTTCTTTGGCATCATGCATAGCTGCAGAGCTGGCAAAAGGTTCCTCAGTGCTGGAAGCTGTTAGGGTCAGTTTGGCTGTCTCTGTTCAATAAATGATAGAGCACAATGGCGTCTTGCAATCCATGTAGCCGACCCCACCTAGTGGGATAAAGGCTTGTTGTTGTTGTTGTTGTTGTTGTTCACCCTTATATCTAGAGATCCTCTATTTGAATATTCTGGTTGTTTGACTTATTGGCATTTTATTTATGTCTGCACATGATCTTAGTGACTAAACCAGTTCATATTTATATTTTGCATTTGAGTTGACTTTTAAACAATCCTTGAGTTTACAAAACTTACTTCTGTTTTCATGAGCATAATTGTAACAATGCACTTTACCTTTTCAACATGTGATTGGTTTACAAATTTTTTTCTTCTGTACTTGCATGTTGAATGTGAGTATGCTTTGGGGATGGGGATGGGGATGGATATCTTAGAATCAATGATTACCAGCTGAGAACTGACCGTTTTTCTTCTATGGCTTCACCTTGATGTATGTTTAAAAACAGTATCCTTTATAATTTAGTTCCAGGTTAGTATGTTTTACAACGTAGGAAATTGGAAGCCAGTATAATTCTCATCCACCAATTCAGCTAGTGGCATTGTGCCTTTAGCCTTTTATGAAAACTGTACTGTGAATACTGTGGAACCCAGCCTTTAAGTTTCTAGGAAATTCTGTCTCCAACTCATTCAATTTCAAGCGATATAGATGAAGAATGATGCATGTTTCTTTGATGAGGCCTAAGCAATTTATCCTCCCCTGTGCTGGGGCAATTAGATGTTTGAATATAGGAAAATCCCTGAAGTTCTCCTTTCTTCCTCTTCGGTTGTAGCAGGCAGCTAAACATTTTATTGAGACTGCCTTGGATTACAGCAAAGACATTGTGATTGGAAACGGAGCCCAAGGCCCTTTTGATCATTTTCTTGCGCTTAAAAATATCAGTCAGAGTTCTTGCAGACAGGATAAGTTCAATCCAAATGACTTACTGTTATATGCGGTAACAGATTCAGGCATGAATAGAAAGTGGGGCCGCTCCACTTCTGATGCTGTTAAAGCTGCTGTAGAAGGGGGCACTACCATTGTTCAATTAAGGTTTGTTTTATAATGCTTCTAATCTGCTTTTGTTCTTTCTTTCTTTCTTTCTTTTTTAATGAAAATGTGCTTTGCTTTGAGTCGGTTAGTAACTATGATACAGGAATCCATGTTCCTTCCATTCTGTAATTTGTAGCAGATGTCATTGTCTATGGCTTAATATGCCCCAGTCAACTATCCTAAAGATCTGGTAACAATATGAGTATAACTCACTGGGAAATGTCCTTTTCTTTTTTCATGGATTTGTGAATTATGACCAAATATCTCCCTTTTTCCGCCTGTCCCTCCCCATATGGATGTAATTTCGGGTCTGATTAGTTGAACTTGAATTTATTCTTTTTTCTTAGTCACTTGTCCATGTATTTCCAACTTTCTTCTACCTTATCCATAGTTTTGTCCTTTTATCTTCTCTTTTTCCTTCCCTCCCTCTGTGATTCACATTACATGTTTCCAGTCAAGAGTCCTTAAGCATCATCATCTACTTGGTACTGTTGAATTGTATATCATGTAGACAAGCTCACATGTGTGATAATTAAGTTTCACTAATTGTTTGATTTTTGTGAAGCACCATTTATTGATCTCATTCAGCTAACAACCATATCCCCGAACACTTACTCTGCATCAATAAGGGTATTAAGACTTCTGTGGAACGCAATTAATTATAGTCTCATTCTGCAAGGATCTGGAAGATTGTTTAGTTGTCTTGTCTGTCGAGTTTTTATTGTGTCAATAAAAGGCTCTACACTCTGTGAAACCTAGGTTATGACTTACAGTTTCTGTTGGAAACATTACCCTAGTTTCTTTTTTCTTTGCTTATGGGGAATTCCAGAGTTTCTCCCTAGTGGATCATAGCATTTCTGCGAAAAATACTAACTCACCTAGCCCTCTTATTATTTGCATGCTTTAGTCCCTGCATCACTTAACCTAATTGCCTGGCTATCTAGCTTTGTCTCACTCGACTATGGATATTGCTTCAGTATCCCAAGCATCCATGGACCATGAGGCTACCCTCCAATGGCAAGCATTCATCCATGATCCCTTAATTTGATCTCCAACGCTTACTTTAGTAGGAAGAACTTCATAATATTCTGAGTAGTACTTCTGGCTTTGCTTTACCAACTTAAAAAGGTTGAGATGAATGTTTGCCTGACATCCCAAGTTACATTAACGTGCCTGTTGAGTCACTCTCATTGAATTGTCTTGTGCGTGATCCATGTTTGATCATTGCATGTATATCTCCTAAGAAAGAAACCTTGATTGGTCAGAATAAAGTTATATCTCATAGTACATTGCTAATTCTTCTACAGGGAAAAGCATACTGAAACACGAGAGTTCTTGGATGCTGCCAAAGCATGCCTCAAAATATGCCGTTTCTATGGGGTACCTTTACTTATAAATGATCGTATCGATGTGGCACTTGCTTGTGATGCTGATGGTGTTCATCTTGGTCAGTCTGACTTGCCTGCACATGTTGCTCGAACTCTTCTTGGTCCTGAAAAGATAATTGGAGTATCATGCAAGACACCAGAGCAAGCCCGACAAGCATGGATTGATGGTGCTGATTACATTGGTAGTGGTGGTGTGTATCCCACAACTACCAAGGAAAAAAATGGCATCATAGGTATAGATGGTTTAAAAGAAGTATGCCTGGCTTCTAAACTGCCGGTGGTTGCAATTGGTGGCATCGGACCATCCAATGCGCGAACTGTAATGGGAATCGGCATGCCAAATTTGAAGGGTGTTGCTGTTGTTTCAGCTCTATTCGATAGAGAGTGCATTCTGACAGAAACCAGAAATTTGCATACCCTATTAACTGAGGCAGTGTTACTGAAGAAATGAGCACGAGTTCTTAAAACATGAGTGTAGTGCTTGCAGAATGCAGATTGAGGCATACAATCTGTGCTCAGACTTTGGATGGACGAATGATTAGGTGAGAATTTTAGTTACTTTCACCATTATCGGAAACATGTACCGGCAGATTCTTTGGACAGAATTCTATTGAAGTTGAGTATTTATGCAGTGCTCAATGCTCAGCAAAACAAAACAATATTTGGCGATTTTTCTAGTTGGCCTTTATTGTCAATAATTCCAGAATTGCTGGGAGCTTCTTTTTATGGCTTTGTTGGTGAAAGGAATTGTCCTTGTGTGTTGTTGAACCATGGTACTTAATCCTCTTTTATATTGAAACATATTGTAGAGGGGTATTACCAACTAATAGGTCTAGAGGAAATGAACTAAAGTTTGAATTGTCATTGAAAAAGGTGCCTATATTTAATATCTAACTATAACTCAAACATGATTTCTTCCAATAAGAAGATATATAAAAAAAATGTCATTGATTCCCTAAGTTAATAGTATACTTTCTCTAATTCAAAATATGAGGTATTTTTAATTATTTCACTGGAGAGCCTAGGAGCGAGAGTTAAATCATCAAGATAGTTTAAAAATAAAATAACTTTTTAAGTTTACTCTTATTTAAAAGCGTGCGTTTCTTTTAAAAAATACAGATAGAAGTGATTTTGAAAAAAAAAAAACTAATTAATGGTTAACCTTTTTATGTAAAAGTAATTAATATGTAAGATCATCAAATTAGCTCCAATGTTGATGATAGTTGAATTAAAATTGAAATAAGCTACTTGTGGTCTAACGTACAACTCATGTTTTGGAAGGAATTTAATAGAGCTTTTTATCAGTTACTTTACATAAAATGATGAAATATTAATTATTTTTTCAATTTTATTTTTTCACATTTTGTTAGCTTGGAGAAGTGTTTGACATTTAATGCTTGATAGTGTTCCAAACAAAATTATCTCTAATAAGAGAATATCAGTACATAATAAAAAATTGTTGCAAATTTATATTTTCTAAAACATAATTTTCTGTTACCAAGTTATATTTTCACCTTCAGTGGGGAAAAAAAATGTCTTCTCATTATACAAAATACTAATATATGCAATATTTATTATATTCTTGTCGTCATCATTCCCAAAGTAACTATATATTTTCAATAACATTGTGAGCATATGAGCATGAAAGATATTCTCGTCCATAAAACAAACTTTATAACCCTAAATACCAAATGTTCCCTAAACAAAACCAAAGGAAACCAGGTATCACACACCATTATTGCAAGTCCATGACAAGAGAAAGAAAGGTCAGACAACAGGAGAGAGAAACAATGAAACACGCCTCCATTTTTATTTTCACATCCAACATGTCACAAAATCAGCCTGGTTTGCAACATGATGCTACAAATCAGAACCTTCTACAACACGAAAAATTTACACTCATTTATTCAACTATGGGTCCTATGCAGAAAACGAAATTTTGTACAGAGGAGAGTACCCTCAGCTTACTTCCAAGTTATCCAGGAGCAATGGAAATAAAAAAAAAAAAAATCAAATGAACTATCTAAAATCTTTGCATATATTTTTAGCTTACATTAACATCGTCGCTAGCCTGTGCCTCCTTGACCCTCTTTTCACACTCATCTTCTTCCTCACCATTTGCCTCATAATTTGTTTTGTCTTCTCCTTCTCCTTCTCCTTCCTCTCCCCAGCCAAACTCTCCAACTGACTTTGAATCCGAGGGTGGAGTTTTGGCCTCTTCAACAATTTTCATAATGTCTTCTGCACTCTGAAGAGAAAATGTTGGGTTTTCCTTCTTGTAGTAGACGTCTTGGGCAGTTTCTGTCAATTCCCTCGGCAGGTTCTTTGAGAACCATGGGTGGGACTTGATTTCTTTCATGCTTATTCTCTGCAACACAATTGTGATATGGTTTGCAAAACATGCTATTTGCAGCAGTTCACTGGTAATGGAATTATGGAAGGACAAACCTTTCCTCTAATAAAAACATGTTAATGAAAAACGGGAAGAGAATAGGAAAGATATTTTTTTGTTTGGTGAAGGAAAGATATTATTAATTATTTATAAATTAGGAACTAATAATAAATATAAAGACATAATGTTTTTAATAAGGATTAAGATTAGGAACTGTTTTATATTTTTTTTAATAAAAAATGGATTAAGTGAGTTGGATTTCACCAAAGCAACAAGAAGGTCCCCCACACATGAACCCGTCTTTGTGGAATAGTAGCAGGTCTTTTATCAACTGAATCAACTTGTATTGGCAAAATCTTATGTCTTAGTTACTTTGTTTAATTTATTAATAGGCATAACTATTTTTTTTTATAGAATAGGTATAACTATTTTTTATTAGAATTGAAATATAATATTACCTTTTATTTTTAAATATTAGGAATTATCTTTTGAGTTTTATATAAAGTCATTGGTCATTATGGTTATGACTTCCGATTGTTTCCTAAAGTTGATCGTTGAAAAAATTCACTTGACTTTCTTTCCTCCTTCCCTTTATTTTTTCAACATTTCCCTCCATCTCCTACCTCCTTTTCCAGTTTTCCTCTAATATTGATGTTGTCCTACATCACATGTAGTGGAACTATTTTTGAAGACCTTATAATGGAATGTTGAGCAGCAAGTAACGTCCATTTAAATTTTTATTGAAAAAACTGGCAGCAAATAATTACAAAAATTTTCTGTCACATGTGAAAAAGCATATTGAGGTGTTAGCAAACTACCTGGATTTTCTTATTTTCTCACAAAACTCTCATGTACGAAGAAGATTTATTGTAGGCTCTCAAAACAGAGGGAAGATAAGTGTTAATTTAAGGAAACAACCAGGAGGTGGGAGTAATTTACCCTAGAGAAGAAAATGACCAAGTCAACCATAAGTAACTACGATCATGAAAATACTAAAAGAGATATCACGTATTTCCAAATGCCCTAGCTAGAGATTCACATATTAAATAAATAATACTGTAAGACTGCTCAAAAGCATAGCATATATGCATACCTTAGTTGGATTTGCAACAAAAATGCGTGATAGCAGATGCTTACAGTCTTGAGATATGTGAACATATTCTGGGATCTTGTATTGAACAGACATAATCCGCTGGATAAGAATATAGGGAATCAGAACGAGTAGACATTAATTAATCCTATTAATATATTTGGTAAAAATAAATGAAAAATTACATTTATGGTTTTTCTGAAGTTCTTAGGGTCTTCTGGGTCCTCAAATGGGTATGCTCCCACCAGCATCACATAAAGAGTTACTCCACAGGACCATACATCAGCCAACTGAACATTCAAGCAGAATAGAAGAAGCTAATCAAGCAAGATTTACTCCTTCCAGGGCCAATTAAGTTCATGCATGGATAGAGAGAGACATCAATCATCATTGCCAACATCATAAGTAATATGACTCTCCCCAGTTATACTAATAAAAATAAATGTCCACCTTTTCCTATGTCAAACATGGACAACTGACTATAAAGCAAACAGTGGAAGTCATGCGATCAGGTCAAAAGGTTACAAGGAAATCATAACAATCATATAAAACCAAAATAAAAGCACTCTCCTTCGTCTGGCTAAATTTCATGAGAACATCTGAATATCGCAAGGATTCACTATTAGGCACCTATGCTCCAGTAAATAACATAAATTTAATGAGCATTGCACAAACAAAGCGAATAGTTTAGAGGCTAGGAGAATTTCTAGATTAGCTCACAATAGTAACGCCATTTTTTGTACCTTTGATCATTCTCCACCTAAGAACACTCCATAGGTGCAGAAGGATAGCAGGCCTTTTGTTTTGATTTGTAAGTTTGCCACTTTGATCTAATGATAGTTTCCATATTTCCATTCAAAATAATAATAATAATGTTATTCAAATACAAGAAACTTAGATTGCACATTGATTTCAGCAATGACAGCATCATACTTATCAAACTTCTTTCCACTATGTCAAAACCTTACGAATGAGTAAACATGTTAAAAAAGGAGACTACAAGTTACAACCAACAGCCTTTTTCTTTCTAGTACTTTACAATGGGACTTTCAGCAAAATATAAGCTTTTCATATGTTTCATTCAGTTTACTAGGCTATACACAAGCCACAAAAGATGGAAAGGATGAAAGATATGGGGCAGAGACAATCTCTTGATGAATTGGGAGCATAAGAAGTATTAAAAACATCATAAAAGACAGTTTCAAGTGGTCAAAAAGTGAGTGCACCATTTTATTTTAATGTCTAAAGCAAATTTACATGCACAAGCACAATACCTCAAGGACTCTAATTTCTTGACATGAAAAGGCTAGATAGTGCCTACTTATAAAATAACATTATAAATAACTATTTTCTTTCCTTTCATGATGACAGCAACAGGGACATAATCTTTGGACAAAAGAAATTGCTATTATCCATCATATTCCTACTTATATTTATAAGAGAAATGTTAAGCATGTTTGGATGAGTGCATGAGCCACGCAGGTATATTAAAGCTCTATGTCACGATCTAAATCTTTTGCATAACAAAAACTAGATACCTTTCCATCATATTCTCTACGTGAGAGAACCTCTGGTGCAATATAGGCTGGAGTACCCACAGTCGACTTTGGCCTTGAATGAAGTAGGGATGACTAGAAAAAATAAAATCTGATCAGAAGTGGTCTTTGTCAATTACACCTCAAGAGCATTCTGCGTTAATATCAAGCCATATTAAACCTTAGAATAACCAAAATCACAAATTTTCAGACGTGGAGCAGGGCTTCCATCCAATAAAGTATTCTCCAGCTTCAGGTCTCGGTGGCAGATTTGCTGCGAAACAAGGATGATCATGTAGACAAATTACCAAAGAGATATGGGAAAAGAAACAGAATACTTGACACACTCTGATACGCATAAACCATCCTCAATTTAATAAATCTTTTACCAATGAATGGCAGTAGCTAACTCCTGAGATGAGCTGCTGGAAGAAATATCTAGCCTGAAATATTTCAAGCATACAATATGAAAAAGAAACAAATAATAATTCTTCTTGCATCTGATTGCTATTAGAAAGACGGGGTAAACGATAATCAGCTAGTCGTTGTCATGTAGGCATCAACAACAAGCAAGAAATGGCTCTCCATAAAGCTCAAGTTCTAATTAAGCCTTCCCGTTTAATAGTTAAATTTTGCTACCTTGACTACTTCAAAATGCATTTCTTTGAGATTAGATACCATTTTGATTTTATAGAAGTTTCACACACATACACAGATGCACACATATATCATTTACCCTTGGTAATTTTAA